GGTACCGGGCAGGCTTCCTTCTGAAGAAGAGATGTGAGGTAAAAACATGGATCAAAGTAAAAGAAAAAAAAGTAATTTTGCTACACATAGTTTATAGAAAGAGGTTTAGACACATGTCTTTAACCTGAGTATGGTTCACTAGCCATTTAAATAGTCTGTGTTTGTAATTGTTTTAGGAAGGGAGTATAATTTCTATGTAGTTTCTGTGTAAGTCAGTGTCTAGTCAGCCATATTGAAACTTTTAACTTAATTACTTTCTATTGCTGTGATAAAAACACTGACCAAAACCAACTTGGGAGGAAAGGGCTTATTTGGCTTGCAAGCACAATCCATCATCAAGGGAAGCCAAGGCAGGAACTCAGGGCAGGAACCTGGAGCACAGGCCATGGAGGAATGCTGCTTACTGGCTTGCTCACCTGGTCTGTGCTCAGCCTGCTTTCTTATACAATACAGGACCACCTGTTGAGGGGCAGCACCTCCCACATCACTCAACAATCAAGAAAATGCCCCACAGACATTGCCACAGGCCAGTCCAATGGAGGTTCCCTCTAACCAGGTGTGTCAAGGTGACATCTAAAGTGATACATCCAGCACACTTAGTGAGCAAGAGCGTGAGTCAGGTTCATGTAGGTGAGGGTAAGGGGCTCTTTTCCTTTCCATATCCCCTCATACTTTTCCCATTTTCCTGCCCTACCTCTTCCCTACTTCCTAGAAGTTCTGGATTCTTCTCTTCCACAATTCCCCCACTCTCAGCTAGACTTTGGGTGACACTTGGCCTACCATCTCCTACTGAAACCTCATTGTGCAATGATCTCTAGGACTAGTTAATTTTTGATTTCTGTTTTAGACAAATGTCTGAGTGTCTGATTTACAGCATCAGATAGATTCTAACAGGTCTGCTATTTTTCCTGGAGCAATAGAAACTGGACCAAGTTTCCTGGATTTTTGGTTCCAGTTCTGCACATGATGCAGGATTTGAGACCAGATTAGAGAAGAGCACACCGCTCACAATGGAGCAAATTCTCTTAGGGACTCAGGTAACTGAATGTGATTAGAGCAATGAATCAGCCAGATACAGAGACGAGACTGTCATGGCACCCTGGCAGCCCTCCAAGGTTTGTACTGACAAATCTAAACGTTATTGTACTGGCTTTCTTGGCTTATTGCTACTGGGCAGGCTGGCAGATCACGTGCTCTGTCTTGGGGAAGTCACGGGAGCATCAATGGTCCTGTTTCCATGGCATTTCTAGGGACAGTGTCTGGGGCCAGTAGAAGCACTGTTAAATACCATGTTCATTCTCTGAACAGCTGTGGAATTTCCTCATATTCAGAAGCATGTTCAGAAGCATGTCAACTGTTTCTCCATAGAAATATGGAGGATCTTTGCTCATGTATTAAAAGATCTTGAAAATATGATTGAGATAATTTTTCTTCACAGGATAGGAGTTGTCATAGCAGAATGGCAGCACATCATCTGAAGAGAAGATTAATTAGACAAGCACATTTCTTCCTAATGTTTGTAGATCAACCGTAGAATAGACAGTAGTAGCCCTACAGGGGCCCTCAAAAGTCATTTAAAGGTATTTCCTAACAAAATTGAATTCCACAAAAGGTACTTTTTCAAAGCTCATATAGCTGGTGAGTGTTTTATTGATTACCAATAGCCATAGACCAATCAGTCTTTTACTAGAGTAAATTATGTCTAAAATGTTATCCTTGTGTTTCAGGACTAAAAAGTGAAAATTGTGTTGAGAACCCAGGTAAGATACACTTTAAATTACTGTCTTTGAATGGGATTTTATCAGTGTTAGTTCTCACTGGTTGAGAATCCAGTCCCCTTTGCCCCCACCATACCCAATGTACTGTCATACCACCAAGCCATCATTTTCTGAAAGCTAAAGTTTGCTTTTGTTACTGGCTCTAAGCCCATTTTGCTGTACGCTCTAAAGCCAATACTTAGGGATTAGAGTTGGTAGGAAGAAAACCAAAGGTCAGCAACCTGGGAAGATGGGGAGAAAGTTGTAGCAGAGCCCCTCACAAGTATGCCAAGGGGCTTTCCTGGGGAGGAAGAGAAGGTGGTGGACTAGAATACAGGAGATCGTGAGGTGAGCCACACATCTAGGCTCAATGGCCACTGTGTCACTCAAGGTTTGTTTTCCCTTCTTTTGTGCTGGAATATCCTCGATATAAAAACAGATTTTTATCTCCTAAACCAGTCCCTATAATTTCTGAGACCAACTCAGAATTCTGAACAAATGAAGCAGTATTCTGCTCTTAATTAAAGAATAATATCAGCAAGTCTTTGGCCCACATTTTGATGTTATCTGAAGAGCACCAGGCATCTAAGTTCTGAAAAACTAAAGACAGATTGCTGATTAGGAGGTTCAGGGACTAGGGCCTTTTTAGGTTGCTTGACTGTCCTGCAGTGGTTGACTCCAGTAGATAGGATCAGGCATTGAAAGGTGGCTTTCTTTAGAATTAGGGGAAAAATAAAAGAATAACTTTACAGGAGGCAATTGTAGAGTAAATGTGGAACAGAGTGGTTTCAGACACACGGTGAAGCCATTTTCACTGTTAGACTTTCACTACTATTTTCACGTGGAGAACACTGTCTCTGTTCCATTCCATCTTTGCCTGTGGCTGTTCTCCAAAAGGCACCTGTCCCAGGCAGGCAGGGAACATGACAATCACACCTTAGTCTGGCATTATAGAACCTTAAGGACTTGTGAAGGCCCATCCCATACATGTAGCTATTTCCCACTTGGTTCCTATGCACAGGTTCCTATATTTTGGTATCTCAGGATATAACATTTGGGATACTAATGGAAGAATAGAGTGCATGTGGCTTAAAGGAGAGGAATGGTTTGACAGAACCATAATGGATCTGTTTTAGCATCCTTGGGAAAAAATAAAGATATAAAAAAGTCATCTCTACTAGGAGACTGTGGGAAGATCTGGGAAGACAGGCAGAAAAGCGTTATCTAGAGGAAGCGTTATCAAATGGGTCTCACAGTTTGCTGTCAAAGTTGTCAGAGAATGCCTTCAACTGATGTTTGAAGTAAATTGCTCTGAAGATTTCCATATTAAAATGTTTGAAAACAAGAATTCATGTCTAGCTGTCTTCCTAGCTAGCTTTTCTATGAATTATTTTTCATGTAAAAATAAATTCATGTCTATTTGTGTTTGAATTGAAAATTTATATTTCTTATCAATAACTGTATGTTTCTTGAAAGTAGGATAACTCAAATCCTTATTAGTATTTTAAAACAGACTGAATTTGGCTGGACATAGTAACATGGAATGAAAATGTTATTTCTATTTCAGAACATCTTCAACCCATGTATATCTACAACCCTGGTGAGTATGTGCTAACTTTAAAATTAATCTCTATAAGGATGTTTAATCTCTCTTTCCTGTTTAGCAAATGCATTTATTATCTGACTAAAAGAAGCCCTTGATGATTACAAGGCAGTAACTTGGCAAATATGAGGGAGGGAAACAATCTGTTCTGGGAAATTCACCTCTTTCCCCATGAGTTTGCTCTGTGGACATGGAGTATAAAAACTTTCTGGGGAATAAAATTAGTAACCCCTGCAGAGCTAGTCACTAAAGAACAGCCTGTGGGGTAGATAGAGCTCCATATTTGACTGCTGGATTGGCCTAAGTGACACTGACATTCAAGTGTAAATAAAAAACAGCATGTTTGCTGCTCCCAAGTAGTCAGATATCCAAAGAGAATAGAATCAACTTAGCTGGGAACAAAGTAAATTTCACTTATTTGGAGCTAATTAGGATTGCTATTTGGAAAAACGCTGATTCAAGAGATCTTGAAAATGTGCTCTGAGATTTCACAACATGGCAGCTTCTTTTATAGCTTTTACACCCATTATGATCAGTGTTGGCAAAAGTTAAGCTCTGCAAACTCACTCTCTGGGTAGCGTGGGAGAACAGAAGGTCAGCAGAGGACGTGGAGTGGGCATGTCCACATTTTGACTAAACTGCCTGGGAGATTCATTTTTTTTTCAAGTTTTCAATTGTGGTGATACAGCCAAATCATTCATTTGTATTTAAATTCTTTGTTTTGCATTAGGATTATGTGTCTGTTATAATTTTTTCTTTATTGAAGAGAGAAAAAATTCAGTCTTTCTGAAAGGGTCCCATTTTTTTTTTCCTGTTTGGGAAGATGCTTCCTGTTCCAATGAAGGCAAACCTTTCCAGAATGTCCATGAGGACTTGCCAAAATACCCTCTTACTGACCTTTTACAGTCACAAATTCTGACCATTTCACAAGGACCTCAGCCAACCCTTTAAAATAAATATCTTTTTCTGCTGCCTTGAGACGCCAAGGAGTCTAGCTCTCAATGATGGTTTATCTTACTAGAGAGGGCCAGAAGAAATGTCCAGCCCAGTGGCCAAGGTATATTTAGACTCTAGGTAACACTATAATAGCAGCAGTTACTGGAGGTAGCACATGGTTTTTTATACTAATCTGAAAATCATTTTACTATACCAAGCATAAGGCCTAATTTTTTTGATCTCTTGTTAAAACTGATTAATTTTGTTTATTTGTTGTAACTCAGATGAGGAAAACCAGAAGCTTGAAGATTCTGGTAAGACATTATCATAACTCTGGGAACTTAACATTTTACAAAATGTGAGCCAGTGGTAAAGAAGTGGGGAGAAGGCTGAGCCAACCCTAGCTTACTATTTTGATATGTCAGATATAATTCTTAATATCTTTTATTTATTCTTTTTATTTTATGTGTATGAGTGTATTGCCTGCATGTATATAAGTGCATCCATGTCCTGCAATGCCCACAGAGATCAGAAGAAGACGTCGGATCCCCTGGAACTGGAGTTATGGATAGTTGCTAGCTGCCATGTCGGTGTTGGTATTGGCAACTGAATCCCAGTCCTCTGCAAGAGCAGTTAGTGCTCTTAATTGCTGAGCCATCTCTCCAGCCCCCAGATAGAATTCTTTATAAAAATGATACAACCTCTGTATCTCTTGTCCAACTATCTTTAGATCACCCCAGAAAAGAGGACACTATGACTAATTATTCCATAAACTTCTATGACGTAGAGTTGTTGTGTAAGGCATAATAAATAGCATTTATTTTTCCTAAATTAAAATAATGATTTGTTGTATGTCTGAGTAACAGGTGCTTACCCACTAAAGTAACAGGTACTTTATCCACTAAGCCACCTCCCCAGCTCCATTTGATTGAAACATTCCAAAGTATAACTTACTCCAAAGTATTAATTGAAAAATAAATGTGAGTTGGAGAGATGGCCTAGTGGTTAGAAGCACTTGCAGAGGACTCAGGTTTGGTTCCCAGCACTCAGGCATCTTACAACCACCTCTAATTCCAGTTCCAGGGAATCTGATGCCCTCTGGCCTCCAAGGATACCTGCACATACATGGTGTTCTAGTTTGCCTTCAATTGCTGTGACAAATCACAGTGACCAATACCAACTAGGGGAGGAAAGGGTTTATTTGTCTTACATTTCCTGGGTCACAATTCATCAGGGAGCTCAAGGTAGGAACTCAGGGCAGAAACCTGGAGGCAGGAGCTGGAGCACAGGCCATGGAAGAATGCTGCTTACTGGCTTGCATCCCTGGACCATGCTCAGCCTGCTTTCTTATACAATACAGAACAACCTGCCCATGGGTGGTGTTGCTCACAGTGGCCTGGACCCTCCCACATCACTCAACAATCAAGAAAATACCTCACAGACATGGCCAGAGGCCAGTCCAATGGAGGCAATTCCCCAATTGAGGTTCCCTCTACCTAGGTGTGTCAAGTTGACAACTAAAGCTTGCAGTACATATGGTGCACATAAACTCATGCAAGCACACACACAATGCGCATAAATTTTAAAAGTAAATAAAATTTTAAAATAAATACATAAATCAATAAAATGTTTTTTGCATATGTATGGTCTGTATGCATATATACTTGTTTGCATGGGTAGGGTGATTATGTGTGAAAGTGCATATACATGTGTGCAGATGCGTGTGTGAGCTAGAAGATGACATTGGGTGTCTTCCTCTATCACTGTTTACCAAGGCAAGGTCTCTCACCGAACCCAGAGCTCTACAATTCAGTTACTTCAGCTAGCCAGTATGCTTTGGGGATCCCTATCTCCTCCTTCTGAATGCAAGGATTATAGGCTGGCCACAATACCTGCCTGGCTTTTATGTTGGTTCTGGGGATCCAAACTGTGGTCCTCACACTTAAGCGGCAAGTACTTTATCCACTAAGCTATCTCCCCAGCTCCAAAGTTTTTATTTTATTCAAATATCCTTAAGTGCTGAGGTAGGAAAGCTTTCATAAATTACTGGTGGGATTATCGGAACACTTTTTTGTTTTCTTTTTTGCCATGGTGCTGGGAATCAAACCAGCACCTCGTGCATGCGAGGTAAGTGTTCCACCAAGGAGATACAACCCCAGCCCCTGGAACACTAACTTTAAAAATGTTTATACATTTTAACCGAGCTGTCACACGGAAATGAGAGATCAGCATAAAGACTTAAGTACAAGACTACTGAGTCATAGTGTTACAGTAGCAAACGTTTAGAAAGAATCTTGGTGCCCAGCAGTTGTTTAGTTTGTTTTTATTTTTCAGTTCTAGGGATTGAAACTGGGGCTTCATGTATGCTAGGCCAAGTTCCTTGCCACCGAGCTACATGCTTAGCCCTCTTTTTAAAAATATTTTATTATTTTTATTTTATGTATATGAGTGTATTGCCCACATGTGTGTAGATGCACCCGTGTTGTACAGTGCCCATGGAGGTCAGAAGAAGGCGTCAGATCCCCTTGGAACTGGAGTTACAGATGGTTGTTAGCCATATGTGGGTGTTGGGAATTGAACCCAGGCCCTCTGCAAAAGCATCCAATGCTATTAACCACTGAGCCATCTTTCCAGTCCTCCTAGCCCTCTTTTTAAAAAGGTATTTTAAATTTCTTTTGTGAAAGTTTTATTGAATTTTGTGAATTTCATACAATATATTTGATCATATTTAGACCTTTTCCTCTATTTACACCCCTCTTATAGCACCCCCTCCACTGAATTTCATGTATTCTGTTATATATGTTAAGGCTTATCAAGCCAAGATTGTGTCCTCAAATGTCCTACGGTGTGAGTCCATCCACTGGAGCCTGGTTAACCTTACCAAGTGTCACTCCCTTAAAGGAAACGAGCTCTCCCTCTCCCAGTAGTTATTGGTTGCAAATAATTCCTCAGCTAACGCCAGGGCTTCTTTCCCATTTCTGTGCTGGGTTTTTGTCTGGTTTGAACTTGCATGCTATGCATGCTGTCACCATTGCTATGAGTTCGTATGAGCAACCCAACCCTCTTTTTACTTAGAAAAAATGTGGTTTTTTTGTTGATTGTTTCTTGTTTTGTTTTGTTTTTGTCTTTTGATTTTTGAGACAGGGTCTCCCCTCAGCCTCAGTTGGCCTGGAACTTGATATATAGACCAGGCTGGCCTTGAAATCACAGAAACCCACCTGCTTCCTACGTGCTGGGATTAAAGGCACGTGCCATCATGCTTGGCCCTACTTTAAAAAAATGTTTAGAACAGAATTTCATTGAATTGGTCAGTCTGGCCTTTCACTCATTTTGTAACTCACAATGTCTGGCTTTGGACTTTCAACCCTCCTGCCTCAGCATTTGGAATAGCTGGAATTTACAGGCCCGTACAACAGGCCCAGAGCAATCCTACATTTCTTTAAAAGAGGCTCCACAGAGTCAGAAGGACAGCCAGTTATGGACAAGCCATGACCCAGTGGCTCTGCCCAGCAACTAACCTTGCCCAGGTAAGCCCTGGCCAGGTCACACTGGGCCTTTCTATGCCCTCCTGATGTACCTATATCAAGCAGATCAGTGGCCCAAGACTGGAGGTGTTATGTGACATCTTCAGAGTACTGCTGGGCTCACAACAGAATGTGCATTTCCTGCATTTAGAGTATGTGGCACATACACTACCCACATGGTTTAGGTATTTTTAAATAATTCAGATTAACATTATTAAACATTAAGCCTAAAACTTAGGTTTTAAAAACTATTTAGATATAAGCAAGTACTTATAATACAATGTAAATAACAAGAGCTGGTCAAAGGAGTAGAGTACTTGCCTAGCATGTGTGAAATTCTAGGTTTGGTTCCCAGTCTCACATACACAGGCCTAGTGGAGATAAGACAAAGTACTGAGGAATGAGTGTGATCAATGTACATTACATGTCTGAAAATATTGTTGTTGAAACCCATTATTTTGTTTTTTTAATAAGTTTTTTATAAAACTTTTTTTGATTGATTTATTTTTTATTTTTTGGGGGTCTTTTTGAAACAGGGTTTCCTTGTAGCCTCAGCTGGCCTGGAGCTCACGATGTAGACCAGGCTGGCCTTGAACTCACAGAGATCCACCTGCCTCTGCCTCCCAAGTGCTGGGACTACAGGCCTGCACCACCACGCCCGGCTCTGATTGATTGATTTTTATGTGTCTGAATATTATGCCTACATATATGTTAGTGTACCTATGTTGTGCAGTGCCTGCAGAGGACAGAAGAGGGCATTGGATCCCCTGGAACTGGAGTTTTGGACAGTTGTTAGCTGCCATGTGGGTGCTGGGAATCGATCCCCGGGACCTCTGCAAGAGCAGCCAGTGTTCTTAACTGCTGCCTATCCAACCCTGTGTTTTTAAACTTTCTAAATTACATTTAGTTTTTTAGTTTGCATATATATGTGTGTGAGTGTGAATTTGTCACAGCATACGTGTGGAGGTCAGAGGACAAACTGTGGGAGTCATTTCTCTCCTTCTACCACGAGCTCCCCAGGATCCAACTCGGGTCTCCAGGCCTGGTGGCAAGCACCTTTACCAAACGGAACTATCTTGCCAGTCAAAACCCATTATTTTGTGTAATTAACATACACTAATAAAAAAAATGAAGGAAGAATAAGCAGATTTGATAGTGCACAAATAATCCTAGCACTTGGGACATTGAGGCGAGAGGATGGCAGGTTTGAGGCCAGCCTGCGATGCATAGCAAGACCTGTCTCAAAATTAAACTGCTGGGGATGTAGGTCAGTGGTGGAGTCTTGCCGAGCATACACAAGGCCAAGGGTTTGACCCCAGCACTACACACTTATTTATTCTATTTTATTTTTCCACATTTATTTTTGAAAAACAATATATAAAACAACACAAAGGATATATAATAAGATACATATATATAGAGCTGGGCATGGAGGCACACACCTTTAATCCCAGCTCTCAGGAGGCAAAGGCAAGCAGATCTCTGTGAGATCGAGGCCAGCTTGGTCCATATAGTGACTTCCAGGCAGGTTGGGACTAGGGAGACCCTATCAAAAACAAAAAGAAAGGGGCTGGAGAGATGGCTCAGGGGTTAAGAGCACTGACTGCTCTTGCAGAGGACCTGGGTTCAATTCCCAGCACCCACATGGCAGCTACAAACCATCCTTAACTCCAGTTCCAGGGGAATCGGAAGCCCTCTTCTGACCTCCACAGCATTGCACGACACAGGTGCACTCACATACATGAAGATAGTACACTCATATGCATAAAATAAAAATAATAAAATATTTAAAAAACAAAAACAGAACAAAAGGTTGAAAGAAAATGTTCCAAAAGTGTTATGAATGAATATCTCTGAGATCTGAGATATTTTAAGTAATTTTAATTTTCAATAATTTCTCATAGTTTTTCAAATTTCTATAATTATCATGTATTATTTATATGACCAGGAAACATTTAAAGCATATGTGTATACCATGACAACTTTGTTCCAGAGACTTTGGATTGACTTTTTTATTACATTTTACTGATTTGTAGGAGTATGGTGGGGTGGGTGGGTGCTCATGGGCTATGGTGCATATGTGGGGGTTGAAGAACAACTTGCAGGAGTTGGTTCTTTCCTTCTACCGTGTGGGTTCCAGATATCAGATTCAGGTCATCAGGCTTGGTGGCAAGTGTTCTTACCCTCTGAACCATCCCATTGGCCCTGGGTTGATTTTTCTTTTTTTAATGAAGACTAGTCTGCCTCATTGAAGACTGATCCTGAGACTAGCCCTAGTTCTCTCATAATCAAGCTGCCTTGATTAATGCTTCTTCCCTTTTCTCTTGTCATTCCATCCCTCAGTTTTCTAGTATCAAAAGCCAAATATAAACCTAAATTAATTTGGAAGCTGAGTACTTTGCTCTGTGACTGGATCTCATATAGCTCAGGCTGGCCTTAAACTTGATATGTAGCAGAGAATGACCCTGACCTCCTCTTACTCCTCCTGCCTCTACCTCTCAAGTGCTGGGACTCCAGACATGGGCTGCTACCCTGAATCTGAGCACCTCCTCACCAGTACACACACACACACTTAAAGTCTTATTCTTATCCCTGGAAATAAAATGTCAGGGGCTAAAATGGTAAATAAGTCCTTTTTCTTACTCTGTCAGAGTAGCCACAAGGTTAGGAAGGAAACACAAGGCTCCTAGGAGTAAGAATGTTAATGAGCATAGAAAATTTATGGAGTGAATTAAACTATTATAGATCGGGGGGCTTCACTTTTGTATTATTTTTATGCTCCATGCAATGTACCAAGAATTTTCTGCAATATTTCCATTAATCCTCACTTATTAAAAACTTACAAGGTATTTCTTTTGCATAAACAAAGACTAAGTCTGAGCAAATAACTATGTTAATGGAGCTAAAGCAAGCAGAGACTTGAGCCCGGTACCGGCTCTTTAAAATTGGACGTCGTAGAACCACCTTAGGAAGATACACTTGGAGGCAAGGCTAGAGCGTGGAAGTTCTTGAAATCTAGCTTAAAGGATTCTTTTTTTTTTTGTCTTTTTGAAGCAGGGTCTCCCTGTAGCCCCAGCTGTCCTGGAACTCACTATGTAGACCAGGCTGGCCTTGAACTCACAGAGATCCGCCTGCCTCTGCCTCCCAAGTGCTGGGACTACAGGCGTGTGCCACCATGCCCAGCTGCTTAAGGGATTTGAACATCATGTTGCAGAATGACAAGTCTCCGAATGGTATTTTTGTTTCTCCTGTTGTCTTTATTATTTATTTATTCATTCGTTCGTTTATTTTGAAGGTTGGATGTTGGGGAGTGGGCAGGTATAGACAAAGAGGAATGTTAGCAATCAACTGATGAACACTAACCAGCATTTATTTATACCTTAGGTATGAAACGCCTTGAATCCACTGAGGTGCCTGGTAAGGTGGCTTCTATGTACTCTGGGCCCCAGTATGAGCATTCAAGAGAGGATTACCATGAGACGATTCTCATAGTTCCCCTTTAATGGTGCACCAGTCATCTATACAACTTTTGCTGGAGAAGAGAGAGGAGAATGTGCCTTTCCTCCCCAGCGTTCCTGTGTTGCTGGAGCACCAGCTCTGGGCAGCTGGGGTATGGCTGAGGTCAAGGCTGTTGGGACCTGGATGCAGAGGGGTCAGACAGTCCAGGTCTACAGCTAAAATTGCTCGGTGGAAACTTTGGATTCTTACACAAGGTAGCTTTAGTTAGTAACTCATTATCTGGGATCTCCAAGTAAGAGCAGTGTTTTTCTGGCATAGACACGCAGTGAGGGTTTATGGGGCCAGAAGTTTGGGGACAAAAGCCAGAAACTGCGGTGCAGTGGGACCTTTAGGGTGGTATCAAGAGCTCATGAGACAAGTTTAGAATTGTGCTCACAGGAGCTCACTGAAAGTTCCTTCCTAACTTAAGAAAAAAAAATTCCAGGAGTGTTTCTACTCCCTGGTAAGCAAGGGTTGGCACACTATAGGGCAAAGAACACCACTTGAGGTCATAGACATAACTGCCATAGATATAACTGCCATAGACATAACTGCCATAGACATAACTGTCATAGACATAACTGCCATGGACATAACTGCCATGGACATAACTGTCATGGACATAACTGCCATGGACATAACTTCCATGGACATAACTGTCATGGACATAACTGCCATGGACATAACTTCCATGGACATAACCGTCATGGACATAACTGCCATGGACATAACTTCCATGGACATAACCGTCATGGACATAACTGCCATGGACATAACTTCCATGGACATAACCGTCATGGACATAACTGCCATGGACATAACTTCCATGGACATAACCGTCATGGACATAACTGCCATGGACATAACTTCCATGGACATAACCGTCATGGACATAACTGCCATGGACATAACCGCCATGGACATAACCGCCATGGACATAACCATCATGGACATAACCGCCATAGACATAACCGTCATGGACATAACCGCCATAGACATAAATGCCATAGACATAACCGTCATAGACATAACCGCCATAGACATAACCGCCGTAGACATAACCGTCATAGACATAACCACCATAGACACAACCGCCATAGACACAACCGCCATAGACATAACTGCCATAGACATATCTGCCATAGACATAACTGCCATAGACATAACTGTCATGGACATAACTGCCATGGACATAACTTCCATGGACATAACTGTCATGGACATAACTGCCATGGACATAACCGCCATGGACATAACCGCCATGGACATAACCATCATGGACATAACCGCCATAGACATAACCGTCATGGACATAACCGCCATAGACATAAATGCCATAGACATAACCGTCATAGACATAACCGTCATAGACATAACCGCCATAGACACAACCGCCATAGACACAACCGCCATAGACACAACCGCCATAGACATAACTGTCATAGACATATCTGCCATAGACATAACTGCCATAGACATAACTGTCATGGACATAACTGCCATGGACATAACTTCCATGGACATAACTGCCATGGACATAACCACAGTGGACATAACTGCCATGGACATAACCGTCATAGACATAACCGCCATAGACATAAATGCCATAGACATAACCGTCATAGACATAACCGCCATAGACATAACCGCCGTAGACATAACCGTCATAGACATAACCACCATAGACACAACCGCCATAGACACAACCGCCATAGACATAACTGCCATAGACACAACCACCATAGATACAACCGCCATAGACACAACTGCCATAGACATAACTGTCATGGACATAACCGCCATAGACATAACTGTCATAGACATAACCGCCATAGACATAAATGCCATAGACATAACCGTCATAGACATACCCGCCAAAGACATAACCGCCATAGACACATCCGCCATAGACACAACCGCCATAGACACAACTGCCATAGACATAACTGTCATGGACATAACTGCCATAGACATAACTGCCATAGACATAACTGTCATAGACATAACTGCCATAGACATAACTGTCATAGACATAACTGCCATAGACATAACTGTCATAGACATAACTGCCATAGACATAACTGTCATAGACATAACTGCCATAGACATAACTGTCATGGACATAACTGCCATGGACATAACTTCCATGGACATAACTTTCATGGACATAACTGCCATGGACATAACCATCATGGACATAACCGCCATGGACATAACCATCATAGACATAACCACCATAGACACAACCACCATAGATACAACCGCCATAGACACAACCGCCATAGACATAACTGCCATAGACATAACTGTCATGGACATAACTGCCATGGACATAACTTCCATGGACATAACTTCCATGGACATAACTGGGTGCTAGGAAACTGCCATGGACATAACCGCAGTGGACATAACCGCCATGGACATAACCATCATAGACATAACCGCCATAGACACAACCACCATAGATACAACTGCCATAGACACAACTGCCATAGACATAACTGCCATAGACATAACTGTCATGGACATAACTGCCATGGACATAACTTCCATGGACATAACTTTCATGGACATAACTGCCATGGACATAACTTCCATGGACATAACTTTCATGGACATAACTGCCATGGACATAACCGTCATAGACATAACCGCCATAGACATAACCGTCATAGACATAACTGCCATAGACACAACCACCATAGATACAACCGCCATAGACATAACTGCCATAGACATAACTGTCATGGACATAACCGCCATAGACATAAATGCCATGGACATAACCGTCATAGACATAGCCGTCATAGACATAACCATCATAGACATAATCGCCATAGACATAACCGCCATAGACATAACCGTCATAGACATAACCGCCATAGACACAACCGCCATAGACATAACTGTCATAGACATAACTGCCATAGACATAACTGCCATAGACATAACTGTCATAGACATAACTGCCATGCTTACACATGCCAGAAAACATAGCACTTTATACAAGATCACACAGTGCAAGGGACTAAGGTCCTTTGACAAGTGTTTCCCTCCATGCGTGTGGTCCCCAAGTGTTTTCTACTATATTTACCATGACAGGTTTAACCCACCTTTAACAGCAGCCGTGAAAATTGAGAGCTTTAAAAGTGAGAGCTGTATTCAAGGGTAAGCATTGAGGAGCTGAGCTTCTGTGATCAGAGAAACAGAGCTGTGACTCAGTAGGTTCACCAGAAGAACTTTAGCTCTTTATGCTCAGGAAGGAGAGAAGGAGAAACAACACACAGTTAACTTAGAAAACAGGCAGAGGATCCGAAAGAGGGTTCAGCAACTTCTTCCTACAGACCCAGAGAGGCACGGATAATACGAATGTGCACATCTTGTTTCCTTACGTCACGTTCTGTTCTCTGGATCTGAGATTGCGCCATGCGGTCTTTGGGGTCTGAAAGGCAGCCACTAAGCAGAATGTGATGGGATGAATGTGAGCTGTGTAGACAGATCTGGCTGCAAGTTCCCCTCCACCACTTTCCTAACTTTGTGTTACTTGACTTTTCTGTGCCTCTGCTCCTCTATCTGTAAAATAAGGATTCTGTCTTCTGGGACTGAGGACTTAATGACATAAAGTGAACAGTAGTAAGATAGTGAATGGCAGCTGTGATTTTTATCACTTTTTTTTTCATTTAGGAATTAAAGCGATACAACTAGGTGAAAACCCTCTACAACCAGTTGAAAAACCTGGTAATTCTTTTTGCAGGGGTGTAGGTCTGTGGAGTTCTAAGTTCTTTACCATAATCATTCCACTAGCTCAGGGTTATGGGGTCTGGAGAAGACATCTGGGTTGTACAGTTTCTGACATCCCATTCTAATGTTAGATGGGGAAATATTAAGAACTTTGAGTGTGAGCAGCAGCTTGCTATTAAGGTTCCCTGGACCAAACTGAGAAAAAGTAGCTTAAAACTGGAACAGCTGCTGTTCAGCTGTGTTTGCCTAGTCTATTCAGGAACTGTGAGGGCATCTGTAGACACAGGAACTCTACCATGGAATAAGTGTACTTTTTCCATGCTGTATGAGAGCTGCACAGCATACCAGTGTTGGGACCAGTCCTGTGCTCACTGCACTTTCCCTTCCTCCAGTAAATAGGCCGTTAAATTTTGTGAGACGACGTTGCCTTGTGCCCTCTCCTGGAAAGGTATTTGTAGTTAGGCTTTTAAAATTTAGTAAGGTAGATGCTATTCACTTCAGAGATGAGGACATGGAACACAAAGATTAAGGAACCTGTTAAGGGTCCAGAAAGACAGCCAGGCCTCAAACTTCACATGTTTTGTTTATGTTCTGCCACATGCCATCAACTTTCAGCCATACTGAGTTATACATCTCTATCCTGGGGGTCTTTGGATTGGCATTTGGATTTAAAATTGTGAAAACACAGTGACCATCAGTATTTTGAGGCTAGTCACAGACTTGGCAGCAGTATATCACAGCAGCTGGGAGCACCACTGACTGATGACCTGATTTTATGCCTGCCATGCCACAGAACAGATCACAGATGATTTGAGGAACCTCGGTGAGGTTCTAACTGCCTGTCTAATAGTATTGAAAGAAGATAATAAGGTAAAGCATTTCATGCTGCAGTTAGCACTCAGGAACTGGAGGATGTAGTGAGGTTGTGCTTGGAAATCTGAGTTCAGTCCTTGCTGGTAAACAAACTTTACATTTATTTTTATAGAAACACATATTCATGGGAGAAATTTTTCAGCATACCTAGTATAGATGGGTAAAAATGAAACCCTTCTCTAACCCCATATATACCTCTGAACTACCTTGGCCTCGGTCCCACTCTCAAGAGAAAAACAAATTTGCTTTATCTTTAATCAAATCTGTCTTTTCTGCATAAATCAAATGAATAATGCAAGTAATTCAGAATTTCTTTGTTTCAGAAGACAAAAGCCAAGGAAATGTCTACAGTCAGAGTAAGAAATATCTCATTTTCTTTAGCTGATAACTAAAAATATAAATAAACAATATAAAAAAGTAAAATTTACTTTTCTTTAATAAAGGCAATGAAGTTGCAAGAGTTTAAGTTATCATAATAACATAGCATATGGTATCCAAATGCTTATATGTATGTTTGAGGTGGGGCAACTGTTGCTTCTAAATAACAATTTTTACCTGTTTTTTTTAATTTATTTTTATTTTATGTGTAGGAGTATATTGCCTGCATGTATGTGAGTGCACCCATGTCGTGCAATTGCCGCTTCAGATTCCCCTGGAACTGGAATTAAGGACAGTTTGTAGCTGCCATGTGGGTGCTAGGAATCGAACCCAGGTCCTCTGTAAGAGCAGTCAGTGCTCTTAACCACTGAGCCATCTCTCCAGCCCAATTTTTGCCCATTTAAGAGACTGTTTGGAAAGTTTTCAGTACCCTCAAGCCAATTCTCCTTTGTAAAAATAATAAATACTTCATAAAGCCTTCATATTATCCTAAAATAAGATAGGAAAGATATACCTGTGTTTATAAAAAAATCAGTATAATGTTCTATCTATAATTTATAGTAAAATTATATATGTTTCAATTTAGATTAATAAAGGCTTAATAGAGTATATAGAGTCTACATTTACTTATGAAAATTTGGGCTAAGGAAATTTTGGAAGCTATTCCATACAAGATGATCAAAGGGAACGGACAGTAGACAGTAGTATAAAAATCAATGTTTAGTGTTAATTAAAACTATCAGAAAATATTTTGTTTATATGGAAAGCTGCTTTAGGTTCTGAGTTTGATCACTATAAACAGGTCTCTAATTTCCATGTATGTCTAGTGGCACACTAGGAAACTGTATAGGAAGTAGGTCAATTTTTCATTTGGCAAGGCCCACCTTAACAGTCAAAAACAAAGCTCAGTGGCAGAGCACGTGCCTTATGTCTGCAGTATCTTGCACGATGTCCATTTTCCTGTTTATCCATATGACTGCATGTTTGCAACTCTGGCAAGTAAACTGGTATGAAGGCTTATAGAAAACTTACTGCTGTTTCTCTCAGCTCACGAATGAAACCTTGACTGGATATCCCAGTCAGAAAAATCCCAGTGAACCTTCCCTTATGTAGTCTACTTAAACAAAAAGGTAGGCATAAATATCGTATCTTGAGTTTAAAGCAGGGTTGGAGAGATGGCTCAGTGGTTAAGAACACTTGCTGTTCTTCCAGAGGACTTGGGTTTGATTCCCAGCACCCACATGGCAGCTAACAACCGTCCATAACTCCAGTTCCAGAGGATCTGACACCCACTTCTGGGCTCTTCGGGGCATCGCATGACATGGGTGCACTTACATATATGCAGGCAAAACACACACACACACACACACACAAAATAAAAAATAAAAACCAGGCACATGCCTTTAATCCCAGCACTTGGGAGGCAGAACCAGGTGGATCTCTGAGAGTTCAAGGTCAGCCTGATCTACATAGTAAGTTCCAGGCCAGCTGAGGCTACAGGGAGACCCTGTCTCAACCCCCGCCCCAAATAATAATAATTTTTTAAAAATCAGAAAAAGTAAAACAAGTTATCCTACTGGTAGATGGACTCTACTGCTTCTCCTAGCTGAGGTAGATGAAAGGAAAATGGCTTTCTTCAAAGGAGTCTAAGTGTGGAGGAAAATAGCAACACATTTTTCTGTTTGTAGAGCTTAAAGGCTTTTTCAATCTTGTTTCTTTTTTTTGTGGGGGTAGGGGGTTGAGACAGGGTCTTCCTGTAGCCCCAGCTGGCCTGGAACTTGCTACATGGACCAAACTGGCCTCCATCTCACAGAGATTTGCCTGCCTCTTTTGGGATTAAGCCCAGTAGGACTTAGTGTTTTAAAAATATTTTTATTAGTATTTTTATTTTATGTATATGAGTGTATTGCCTCCATTTGTGTAAGTGCAATGTCCATGGAGTCAGAAGGCATCAGATCCCCTAGAACTGGAGTTATGGACAGTTGTTAGCCACTATGTGGGTGCTGGGAATCGAACCCGGGTCTTCTGCAAGAGAAGTCAGTGCTCTTAACCACTGAGCCATCTCTCCAGCCCCTTATTTATCATTTTTATTTTATGTGTATGAGTGTATTGCCTGCATGTATATAAATGCACCCATGTCATGTAATGCCCATGAAGGTCAGAAGATCCCCTGGAACTGGAGTTATGGATGGTTGTTAGCTGCCATATGGGTGCTGGGATTTGAATCCAGGTCCCCTGTAAGAGCAGTCAATGCTTTTAACCACCAAGCCATCTCTCCAGTCCTATAAGGGCTTAGTGATTTTTTTTTTTTTTGGACTTTTTGAGACAGGGTCTCCCTGTAGCCCCAGCTGTCCTGGAACTCACTATGTAGACCAGGCTGGCCTTGAATTCACAGAGATCTGCCTGACTCTGCCTCCCAAGTGCTGGGATTAAAGGTGTGCGCCACCACGCCTGGCCAGGGATTAGTGTTTTAAAGTGCAGCTATGTCCAGCTGTATACTGGTAGCTGTTTGAACATGCAAATGAAATTCATTGCCTTGTTTGAAACAAGATACTCTTGAGTTAAACTTTACATTGTATGGTATATAAAAATGGAAAAAGAAAATTGCTAAGAAGTTCTAAAGTACTCAACAACAAAAAGTAATTGTCCTGGTTGTCTATATATATAAATGTCCATTACTAACCTTAGCGATAGATTTTTTTTTAATCTTTTTTGAGACAGGGTCTCCCTGTAGCACCAGCTGGCCCAGAACTCACTAGTTAGACCAGGCTGGCCTTGAACTCGGAGAGATTCACCTTCTTCTGCCTCCCAAATGCTGGGATTAAAGGTGTGTGCCACTATGCCCAACAATCTATATACATTTAAACCTAGTGAAACTCTAGAAAACAATCTAGAATAGCATGTCTTGATGATATAACTGGAAATTTAGCCTTAAATCTATAAGCTACATATATGTAAAATAAGTTTCCAGTTAAAAGTATTTCAATAAGTTTCTAACTCAAACTCAGTGTTGCTGTGTAAATATTCATGATGTCTGATATAGGTAGATGATACTAGATATCAAACGCTGATGTGCCTGTGTTCTCATTAACAGCTCCAGGTCCGGCTCCAGGTCCAGCTCCTGTTCCAGGTCCCAAAACCCATCCTTCTGCATCCTCTGGCAGAATGCTCCTTCCAACAGTTGGGACCTTCTTCATTCTAATCAGTGCTTCTGCTGTGAACATTCTCATTGCTCTGTCACTGGAAACATCTTAATCTTTACTTGGAATATGCTATGGTCATCCCACAGAAGATAAAAAGGAATGGTGTATTTTTTTCACCTGGACATAGTCACTGTATAAAATAAGAACTGTATATTTGTTATTTTAAAGATTAAAAAGCTGGTCCAGATATAGTGCCACAGAATTAAACTTTTCATTCATTTCTGTATTAGTCTTATGATTGCAAAAATCCAAAGCTGTATACTTTTGATTGGATTTGATAAAACTTCTAAGTTTATTAAATATTTTTCTGCAGAATTGTCAAATAAAATGTCCATTACTAATTTTAGCGATTAACATGAATTAATAATAGAATAAAATTTGAAAAATATTTTCTCTCCAAAAAAACCAACTTCAAATAGTATCATTGCCCTCCCCTCAGTCTCTTCGTCTTCCCTTGGTATATATTTCTATTTTTATAAATCCAACAGTTTATAGTCTGTTTCACATAGTACCTAACTTGAATTTCATGTTAACTCAGGAGAGTAGACAGGATGCTAACTATGTATATTGAGAAAGAAAATTGAAGTTTTACCATATATACCTTTCCCCTAGGTTTTGTAGTGATTGAACAGTGAGACTGAGGTATGGGCTTTGGTTAACTGACACTTATACTTACTTTGCCAATGCTTCAAATAGGAGTAAAGGCCACATTTGAAGATACAGAAAAGTTCCATCAAATCCAAATGAGGTGTTAAGGTTCAGTATACTTTATTCCACCAGTTCCCTCCCTTGTTCAGATTTTTAAGGTTAAACTGTAAGAACCATAAACTAGTTGAGGACCAAATACAGAACTTGTGGTAAGCTGTTACAGAACACAAATTTATGCCAAGACTAAAGTGGGTCTTTCATCCTGACATGCCACGCCATCTTCAATGAAGCCCGCATGAGATCCTCTGTGGGTTGAGGCTAGAACTTCAAGGAAGGTTGCCTCTTGGAGTTGGCTGTGCTAAAAAACATGCAGTGAACTTGGCATGCTTTTACTTGCTATTATCTTTCTAACTGTCACTGTATCTTGGGCTTTCTGGGGGCCAGGAAAGCACCTGGTGTCCTTGGCGATAAGAGAAAAATATGGTTTCATGGATTTCTAACATGAGATAGCCTTTTTGGGACTTATAGAGTTAAACTAACTTAGAAGCCCTATGGTCCACTACAAACAAGCAAGGAATGTTATCAGATCGTTAAAAAAGTAACAACCTGGCACCGCTGGTGTTGGAAGTGCTTAATGAGGTGCTTAATGAATCAAGGCCATCCTGACTTGGGACTACAAAGCGGAGCAGAATCTTAAGTGTGTGAGAAAGGCTGACAGTAAAAAAAAAAACACAGTAAAATAGGAATTTACTGTCTAGTGTCAGGTTGACAAGATAGAGAGATATGTTAGCAAAATTATGTTTTGCTTTCATCTCTGGAACTGTAAATCTTAGCAGGACTGTTCTGCGGTTTTTTGTAATCTTTGCTGTATATATTTCAAACCTTGCAACTGCAAAAATTACACTCAGACTTTCATCAAGCTCCTTTACATCTGTTTGTCAGTCGCTGACTCCTTGTCCACCCTCTGGACGACCCTGTTCCCTTCGGACTGAACTGCCCCAGTCTGGGCTGGTCCGTTGCAGGTGGTGCCCGAACAGGGACCCGGAGGGTAAGGTATCTCTCCCCTTTTTTCTCTTTTTAATAATTTCAGGCAAGGATAGGACCTCATCAGGGCGCTGCAGGCTCACTGGTAAAGGATGACCAGGTTAAGAAAACGAGAAGGTAACTGATAACAATCATGGGGCATTCTCAGTCAAAGAATAGGGGCCTTTTCTTATCAGTTTGAGTATTAGTATACCAAAAACAGTATTGGAAGAAATTTCTAAATTGGCAGTAGCAGCCTGGAGAAAGCTTCCAGGAGCAGGAGGTACAACCACTGTTCTTTCTGGAATTAGACAAAAACAGGAAGAAACATATGAGAATTTTGTAGCAAATTGGAGGAAGCATTGCAAAGGATGATGCCTTCATCTGAGGGATCAGAAATTTTATTAAAACATTTGGCTTGGTAAAATGCTAAGTTTCTATGTAAAGAATTAATAAGGCCAATTAAGAAAATAGGCTCTTTACAGGATTATGTAAAAGCTTGCATAGATACCTCACCAGCAGTGGTCCAAGGAATGGCCTATGCTGCAGCAATGAAGGGACAGCATTTCAGCGCCTATGTTCAGAATCTTAAAAGCAGGCCTCAGACCAATAATGAGGGGGTCTGTTTCTCATGTGGAAAGCCAGGTCACATGAGTAAAGAATGCTTCAATAAAAATAAAAGGAACCATAATGGAGAAAGAAAACCTGGTAATAAGCGAGGACCTCCTGGGATTTGTCCTAGGTGCAAGAAAGGAAAACATTGGAAAAATGAATGTAAGTCTAAGTATCATAAAGATAGGACACCCCTAGATAGGAAGAAGAAAAGGAGACAAAAAAAATGAGGAGAGAGGCAAGCCCTCAGCCCCTTAAAAGAAAGAGGGATAGAGATGGTGAATTCAGGTAAGGAAAAAGACAATTTGAACTAAATCCTTTGACTGAACTTTTTAGTATGTATGATCTTCCTAGAGCCACTCTAGGAACTGCTGGGTTGGATTTGGTAGCAAATAAAGATTATATACTCTCCCTTATGGAAGGGACCCAATTAATAGAGACCTCCGTTAAAGGAGGTCTGCCTTTGGGTACATTTGGCTTAATAATTGGCAAAAGTTCAAATTATAAACTCTTAAAGAAGTGGTACAGATATATAAAAATCAGAGAGTGGCCC